GTTTGTTTGTTTGTTTGTTTGTTTGTATTATAAATGATTGTGTCTGTTTAGATTTTATTAATTTAGCTAACTACTCGTTTGATTGAATGTACTTTAAACAGGCAGAAGTAAAACCAGTACAGGTGACTAAWTATAGCCTGTATTTTAACACACACACAGGAAGAACATTAATTAAATGTGGAACCAAATATTCTAAAAGTTTGCTTAGCTAGAAGTGCACTTAGTGCACTAGAAAATGTAGAGGCTGACCAACTGACTAACTTATAAAGTGCATTAGAGCAATCATGAGGCTGAGACAAAAAAAAAACAAAACAGAAAGATAAACAGAAATCCTGAAATGAAATATTTTAAGAATAAGCTACTTTGTCAAGGATCTGTAGATTTTGGAGAGGATATGAATGCTGCAACAATCGTTAATTACTTACTGTCTCAATTTGGGATTTACATTGTGTCATGATGAGTGATTCTGCACCTAAAGCATATCTGTTCGTTTGTGGTGCTTATGTCATTGTGCCAAGTTTTTGCCACAAACAAAATCATTCATATGCCCATGTGGTTTTATGTATTTATTTGTGCTGACAGAAGGAATGGCCGGCTCTTGCCCACAGTCTGGCGGTTGTATACTGAAGCATGGCRTTATCACCATCACTCGACAGGCTCCTCGCTGTGCTACATCCCCCGTAGGGCAGTTCTCTACTGCCCTGGCAATGATGAACGAAAATTGAAGAAACTAGCCTTGCTTGATGTCGACTGTGCCGTGTTGGATTGTGAGGATGGTGTGGCTCTCACCAAAAAGGTACAAAATTGCACCCATTTCTACACGAAAACACCATTCAGCATTCTATGAACAGGAAAGGAACACATGGACAGGCACAGCTGATACCCAAGCTGATTTTAATTTCATCTCCCTCCATCAAACTGGTGTTTGGTCTTAATGAATGAAAAGCAAACGACCTAAGTGAGATGTTTAAAACAAGCGCATTTCACCCCATTGTGATTTGCAGAAAGCAGTGGTTCCCCCATTCTATCATTTCTTTAAAGCAAGGTGACCATATCCCACTGGGTGAGCAGTGGGAAAGCACCAGATGCAGCAGGTTAAAAGCATTCTCCTCCTGCCTACTCAACCTCCCCATTGGTTGTGGAACTGCCCATGAAATTGTGATTGGAAAGTGGGATAAAGAAGGGGCTTAGACTAAAAGTTAACCAACAAAGGTTCTTTTTTAAGTCTCAATAATAAAGATGATTGATATAGCTGGAGGCTTTTCCTGTAGGAGACAAAGACAACGGCCTGTGTGACTGACAGGCTGAAACTGTGACTCTGCAATGGTGRATGTTAGCGTTTGTCTTTATTATGTGCAAAAGGGGGGCGATGTGGAAAGGAATGCATCACTAGCTGCRTTTTCATTGACCATGAAAATGCGCAAATTAGAATTTCAAAAATAAATTTGCTCAATGGAAACACATCAATTTTGACAAAAAAATGTTTTTCGACTAAATGTTTTTGCGCTAGGATGAGGTGTTTTTCGGCCKTATCGAAATTGGTGTTTTTCGCAAAACTGCAATGGAAACACTTTTTTCGCATCACGGGAGTCACGTGATTAACAACCGGCTGTTTCTACTGGTGAAAAAGATGACGACAAAGAAGAAGACAACAGGAAGTAGAAGTAGTAGTAATATCGTTGAAGTAGTAAAATAAAGCAGTAAACTCACCAACTACAATTTCCCAAAAACACAGCATACGTAGCCGCTCCCAAGTAGGGACTTGTCGCTGGAAAGCCTCGTTAAAAGACGCCAAAGTCTCCTCTGATGATGAGCGCTAGTGTTGCTGTAGCAACATGCTATGTGTTTACATCCATTGCCGCCATGTTTGTAATTACTTATCGCGAGAACAAGCGTATTCACGTGACTTTAATAACATTTCTTACTTAATGGAAACACCGCAGTTGCGAAACTGTGTTTTTTCGACATTAACAGAATATCGACAGTTTTGCGCACATTTGCAATGGAAATGCAGCTWCAGAAATCGCCATGCAGGCTACAGAATATTTCAGAAGTTATACTCTTGTCCACGGTGCRTGACTCCAACTCTGCTTCATTCTGTCACCAACCTACATATCCTTTTGCTGTATATGTATTGTAAATAAGTTGGCAGGAAATTATTGTATATTTTGTAATGCCATGATTCATTTTCACCCATTTTTTAAAAACAGCTTTTCCCCCACTTGTCACCAGTTAGCTATTGGGTTGCACTTGTCAGCCTGTTATATGCTGTTACAATTGAAGGTRAAAATCACATTAGCTACAGGGAATTTCCATTCCTTTAAAATATTGCAAAAACATCCCTCGGCAGACTTACCACTCTGTCATCCAGTTGTAGCTCGTCCACTAACGCACATCGAAATACCAAAAATAATTTCAGCAAAATAGCACAATAAAGTTCCCTGCTTAATAATCTGACTGCATTCTCCTTTTTTCTGATAATCTATGYCTAGTTTCTGAAAGTCAAAGTGAGTACAACTCTGTACAAAGGAAGACATGACTTTGGAGAACTTTTGATTTAATAACCTGCAACAAAGTGTTATTACAAGTTATTAAAGTTATTAAATGTCTTAAGCCCCAGTCACACTTACTTGGAATCAGCAGGAATCAAGCAGAAATATCAAAAATGAAGAATTTTCTCAAACTCCAATTACACTACAGATAGAACAACCTGGGATACCATTGGAANCAGTTCAGATGCTCGTCAAAATTGCTTGAAGCATGTCAAGCAAAGTTAGTGGGTGTCATTCAGGAAGCCGTCCCATTGGAAAATGTGCCACCACGTCACATAGCAGATCATCAGCATCTGATAACCGGTGGCGCTCTGAGTGGCTGGCTTGTGGCCACTTATGCTAGTCTGCAATGTTTCAAACTTTAATCAGCTATTCTCTGTGGTATTGAACATTTCATGAAAGTGTATTAAACATTTCCTGAAAGTTTCATATAAATACGTTTGATACCTTTTGAGATACAGGTGAAACTTGTTTATTTTATGTATGTATGTATGTATGTATGTATGTATGTATGTATGTATGTATGTATGTATGTATGTATGTATGTATG